TACATATATGCAATATGGATATAGGCATAGGTCTTTTGTGTATGTTATAGAATATGTACATATATTATAATATATAATAATCATAATAAGTACAAATATTATTTGATTAGCATATTAATTAAGCTTTAGTATGCTTGGAGTGTCTCTGCTTGTCAGTTCGGTCTTATGGGATATCTATCATATACCTAGACTGAGACTAGGGTATGCATATGAATATATATGTATATATATGTATATATACCTGAATGTGGGCCAATTCGATGCCACCCGGTGGCATCATCTCGTTGTTGTTGTTGTTGTTGTTGGCGTCTGATGGCCGTTTGCCAACTGGCAGCAACAAAAATATGAAAACTAAGAGCGGTGGCATGAGGCATACGAGGTGACAGCCAGACCAGAGCGAGGGAGAGAGAGAGAGCAGAGTGTGTGTGGAGGCGGTAGGCGTGCCGCAAGCAGCAGTAGCAGCCAAGGTGTGCGGCAATTGCTGCTGCTGCTGCTGCTGCTGCTGCTGCTGCTGCCTTTTGTCGTGCGAACAAAATTATTTTTATATGTTTGGCCCACATGCAGCCGAAGCAAAGGTAGACGGAGAGGCAGGGGCGTCAGGTGAGACACCGCCAGCGATCAAGAGAGGGGGCGGGAGAGTAAGGGAGTGTGTGTGTTGCATTTCCTGTTTGGCTGCCAAATAAATTTGTTGATGAATTTCAAATTAATTTGCACAATTTGCCGACTGTCCAGCGTGGTGGGCAGAGCCAAAGAGCGAGAGAGAGAGAGCGAGAGGGAGACAGCAACAGAGGCAGGGGCAGATTACCGCTCATTAGGTGGCCCATTAGGGCGCCCACATGAGCCAATTGCAACTGTTTGCCGGCATGAAACGAGCGCCAGCAGGCGCTAGGGCAGCTGAGGCAGGTAAAGGTGACACAAACACCGCCCCGCCCCGCCCCTTAAAGAAACCAAGATGGAAAACAAAAACTAAATCTAAATTGGAAAGCAACGGAAATAGCCACAAAAAAAAAGATCTTAATGAACGCAGCTGCAGGGTGTTGCGGGGCTGATGAATGCTTTTTATGATGAATTGCTCCAAAAGTAGCTCGTTAGGTGCGAGCGAGACAGATGGAGAGAGAGAGAGAGAGAGAGCAGCGAAAGAATAGACAGTGAGACAGCGCGCGCGCACACACAAAGCGTAGCAACAACAATCACAATAACAACAGCAACAACAACAATAATAACAACCAGCCAGAAAATGAATGCAAATTGAAATTCCAAGATCGAAATCAAAGATGGCGACGCACCAAAAACAAAGGCGCGCACAATCCAAAAACAAAAGACGGCAACACATATAACGAGAGACAACAGAAATTTAATGCAATGAAAATCAAATAAATTGCAATGAAAAGGCAAACAACGGCAACAACAATGTCAACGATAGCAATCACTAAACATGGTGGGCTTACAGTTGCGCTGCCCGCGTCGCTGCCGGCCGCACTTAACGAGAGCGGCTCACCAAAAGTGAAGCATTTGAAAAATGCATAAGGAGCCATGCAAATAAACCGATGGCGCAGCACAAGAAGCCGACGAGGCGAACAGAGAGAAGAAGAGAGCGCAGGCTGAACACCAAAAATGGATAAAAACGCAACGGCATAAACGACAAGAATGCAGCGAAGACAGTGAGAGCACGCGCACAGGAGAGAGCGGGCAAGAGAGTGAGAGCGAAAATAAAACGAGCCTCACTCTGGAAACTGGAAGTGGCGGCAGGCGAGCTCACCTTATGCGAAGCAACAAAAAATATATACAAAAAAAAAGCACAAAGTGGTGACTGCAGCTCAAAGAGCAACGCATAAATTTTGGAGCATGTTACGAGCGCTTGTCGCTGTTGTTGTTGTTGTTGTCGATATGTAGTTATTTTATTTTTTGCATGTTGCTAGAGAACCAGCTGCAACTGCCAACGGGGCGCGTGTCCATGTGAATGTCATGGATGTGAATGGAATGGGGCTGGAACCTGGTGCTTTCACCCGTGGAATGCGAGCAGCAGCAGCAGCAGCAGCAGAAACAAATTAGCTCAAATGTTCAAGCCGCAGGGCAACGTTGTTGTTGCCGTTGCTGTTGCTAATAATAACAGCTGGCAGCAAAGCGAGCTGCAGCAGCAAATTGCATGAGATGCACATTAATTATGACAAAGGCAAATGGCAGCAGCAGCAACAAAGTGACAGCAGCAACAGCAGCAAACGCCTCGCATGCTTCACACGCCCCCACACAACGGCAACAAAACCAACAAAAGCTTCTCTATCATACATGTTGCTACTGTTGTTGTTGTTGTTAATGCAGCTATTTCCAATAAATGGCACAGCGAGTGAACCAAAAACGTGTCGCGACTAGAATGAGTCATCGCCATCGTCATCGTCATCGTCATTGTCATCGTCATCAGCATATTTGGTCAGCAACATGTCAGGCAACTGCAGTTGGCAACATTTGGTTTGGCAACAATTAGCGCAATGCTGCAACATTTTGTTGCTGCCAAGCATCTGGAATGCCTTTTATGGTCAAAGCAAAGCGAATATATGAATTTTAGTTCCGCTCTTGAACCGGTTCACTTTGTAGCAAGTAATATTTGGCTTAGCAACATGTTGATGTTGCCAAGCAAATTGAAGCTTGTTATTATGATTCCGTTCGCGAACCGGAACGAAAACGAATTTCGAACCGGTTTGCGCAAAAGTCGAACCGATTCGCCTAACCTCACTTTTTCGGAGCGCATTTTTGTGGTTTTGTTGAGAATCTTAAAATATGTATGAAAAATGAAATAAACAGACTCGCACACACACACACACACACACACACACGCACACATAGATGTCGCATCGTTTCTCTTGTATTTTATTTTCATTTTTGTTATTGTTGTTGTTGCAGTTTGTACAACAAATATTGTTGTTTTTTATTTCCCAAAAAATGTTGTTTGTTTTTTTTTTTTTGTACATTTTGTTGTATTTTTTTCACGCGCTGTTCGACTTGGCGACATTTCAAAATATTTTTGAAAATTATGGACCAACAACTGCAGAGGCTGCGTAGACGGAAATGAGGACGCTGGGGTCAGCGACGGGCTGGGGGGAGGTGGGAGGGGGTGTGGTGCTGATGGAAGAAGCAGGAGGTGTGGCAAGCGGTAGATCACAAAGCATAAATTAATTAAAAGTAAATTTTAATGCACAATGAGAGAGAGAGAGAGAGAGAGAGAGAGAGCATAGTCTTTCTCTCCCCCTCTTTCTCTCTCTCTCTCTCTGTCACACGCACTTTCGCTGCTCATTATTATTTATGGATTTTTTGGCACATTTTTCTTTAGCGTCCGTCAACCCGAAATGATTTCGAGTTATTTATGACATGTTTCCACTGTGTAGGGGGGGGCGCAGGTGGGTGGCACCCGCAGGGGGGGAGTGGCTGTGCTGCACTGTTAGCTCGAGTCGTGTTCACAATTTAATGTCTTTTTAAATGGACAAGCGAACACTAAAAGGGACTTTCAGCCCTAGACCCACACACATTAGGGGCACTCAGCACGCTCAGGCGCATTTTTTCCACCTCTGATTTATGCTGCATAAATATTTGGGGGGCTTTTCGTGGGCTTTACGCTCGTATTTGTAGTATTTCGATTGATGCGAAAATAAGTAAATTACATTTTATCACCATTTTTTATTTGTATTTTATATGTTTGTTTTATTCTTCTTTTTTTTTCGTTTTAAACTTGTTTGATTTTCTATTTTGGAAAATTTATTTTCCTATTTTTACAATGAAAGAACTAATGAAACAACAAAATAAGAATGTGGAATGAATAAATTCAAGTTAAAATTTCATTTTTATTTAGTTTGCCTAAATTATTCAATTATTAACTAGATTGCATATTTTCATAAATGAATTTTGATCTATTCACATTGAATGACCCTAATGCACTGACTAACACTCGGTTTTTCTCACCTCTTTCGCTTCTTTTTTATAGTTTGTCATTATATGGCGAAAAGAATATAACTTATTTGTACACATACATACATACAAACATACATACATACATGTATTCGTATGAAACTGTATTTATTATCTAACAAAGTTCAGATGGATATTTAGAGACCACCCACGTAGTTAGGATGCTTCAGTTTTTTTTTTGTTGTGTATCTCCCTCTTTCTCTTTCTCTCTATACATTTCTCTCTCTCTCTCTTTGTTTCTCTTCCTGTTTATTTCTATCCTATCTATATTAATTTCTTCTCTAACTGTCTATCAACTTTTAAGTCTTCTTTTATTTGTAGCTCTATCTTTCTCTCTGTCATACACACACACACACACACTCTCTCTCTCTCCTTCTCTTTTTCCATCTGTATATTTCTCTCACTCTGTTTCTATTTCCATCTGTCTGTCCTGTACCTTTCTTTTTTCTCGCTTATTCAACTCTTCTCTCGTACTCTCTCTCTCTGTCTCTCTCCCTCTCTCTTTCTCTCTGTTTCTTCTATAGCTCACTATCTTTTTATATATGACAATATATTCATTCTAATTCATTCCGTCTCTTTCTCTGTCCCTCTCAGTCTCTTTCTGCCTCTCTCTCGCTCACTCACACACACACTCTCTCTCTCGCTCACTCTCACACACACATACACTCTCTCTCTCCTCTCTCTCCCTCTCTCTCTGTCTCTCCCTCTCTTCCTCTCCCTGTGTCCTTCTATCAATTGTTTTCTCTACATATTTTACTCTGTCTCTCTCCCACTCTCTGCTTTGCTTTTCCTATTCTATTTCTGGGCCTTCTCACTTGTTTCCTTGGCCTGTCGTCGAGTTACATTTCATTCCATTTATTCATTTTCTTTGTGGCACTTTAGGCCTCAATTATTTCGAAATACATTTCAAGTGTCAATTTGTTGTCTTTCGAAAATGATGCAAGGTGGCAACACTGTCAGCTACACACACACACACACACATTTGCTTCTCTGTTCTATGTATATAAATATGTTTTGATTTTCTTCTATTACTTCCATTGCAGCCAAAGATGCGCTCTTAGCAGGTGCGAGCAGGCGAGCGCTGAACTGTGCGAAAGAGACAGCAAATCGTGCACAGAGCGAACTTTCGCGGAGGACAACGGGCCGCAAACCAAAAGGCAAACGCAAAGCACAGAGCACAGAGCAAAGCCAAGCAGAAATCAGGTAAATTCGCAATTGAATAATAAACATGAAGCCTGCCACAATTTGTGGCGCCCACGCCTGCGCTGTGGCGCGCCCAAAAAAAAAAAACAAAACTAAATAAAAGCGCCGCAACAAACAATTGCTGCGTGCTGCCCACGCATGCAGCAGGAGTGGCTCGCAGGAGGCGGTAGGCGGTAGGCGGGTGGCAGGGCGGTGGGTCGGGGTGGGGTTCGTTTAGTGGATTGGCTTCGATTCGAGTGCTGCGGCGGCATTCAACAGGTGGGGCGCTCAAATTAGACGGCAGACGCTGCTGCCGCTGCTGTACCCACACTACGTAGGCAGCCGCATGCCGCATGCCACATGCCGCAAATCCTGTTGCCTGCTGCCTGTTGCCTGGAATGCAGATTTGCAACTCGTTTACATGCGCGCGACTGGCGCTACTCGACTCGTTTCTTGCTCTGTTTCTGCTCCGCTTTGGGCCAGCTGCTGCCCGCGCTGCGCCCCTGCCTTTGCCATTTATTGCCTTTGCCTGGTTCCGGTCTTCTTTGGCCTGAGCTTTGTCTTCCAGCTTCCATGTTCCAGCTTCCAGCTGCTCGGCCAAAAAACCAAACCGGTTTCATTCCACAAGAATTTGTTGTTGTTGCTTTAGTTTTGCTTCTTTTTGCCATAACTGTGTATGTGTGTGTGTGTGTGTGTTTGCTTGTTGTTGTTGCTTTTTCGCTTTGTGTTTGTTTTTGTTTTAGCTTTGTTTGTATTGGCTTCATCTCTGTGTTCTTATCTCGCTGTTGTTGTTGCTGTTCGATTCGTGATTTTTCTATTGCTCCTTTTGCTGCTGTTGTTGTTGTTGCTGCTGCTGCTGCTGTTCTTTTTCTGGCCCAGCCATGGCAATAGTTGTTGCTCTCAGGTTTTATTGAACTTTGTGTAACAAACAGGCAACAGCGTGTAGCAGGTGTTAGTGTTTTACAAGCTGTTAACTGCTGCTGCCGCGGCTTAATGGCCAGCCGACAACGACAACAACAACAACAACAGCAGCAGCAACAACTGACAACAACATTTAACTAACTGTTGTTGTTGCTGTTGTCTCTGCTTAACGCCTCGCTTTGAAATGCGCGCTCAACGCGAATCACAGCCAGGTGCACGACTAGCGCATACCCTGTACAAAAAATAAAAGTGAAGCTAAAATAACAACAACAACAACAACAACAAAGCTAAAATTATAGAATCAAATAATATTGTGAATATAGCGATGATTGTGCAACCCATTCAATTTACAGGGTATCTCATAGTCGGCATATGCCTGCAGTTTCTAGCACTGCTCAGCTTCTGTCGCTCTGCCAGCTGAGTGAACATGCTTGCTCTTCACTTCACGGCTACTTCCGCCCGTCTCATGTCGCATTCTACCTGCACAGCCACGCCCCCACACCCCACCCCCGCCTGTCGGCTGCATGTGGCATGCCCAGTTGCGCCTACTTCTACTAATTTCTAACAGTTTTATGCTAATTTCTGGACAAGCGCAAACATTTGAAGAAGCCGCAGACAACGTTTGCCATTCACCAAAGTTGTTGTTGTTGTTGTTGCTGGTTGTTGTTGTTGTTGTTAGTGAACATGTGTATTTGAACTGTTAATTTATGCTATTTAATTTGGCATTTCATTTGATTAATAACTGTTATTGTCTAGCTCGAATGTCTTCTCTCTATTTCAACATGCAACAACAACAACAACAACAACAACAACAACAACAACAATGTCAAAACTTGTCCCATGTTTTCTTATTGTTCTAGTTTGAACTTCGTTGTTTTGTTTTTGTTTTTTGTTGTTGTTGTTTTTTATGGGGCCTTTTCGAGGTGTGACTAATCGAATTAGCATGCAACAACAACAACAACAGCAACAACAACAGCAATCATATCAACCAATTGTGCATTGGCAACATACATAAACGCCAGCAACATGTTGATAACACTTTGGCAGCAACTGTAAACGTGTTCGGCTTTATTGCCGTTTGATTGCTAGATTATTCGATTGATTAGTGAGCCAGAGCCCGAGCCAGAGCCAGAGCCATTTCATGTTTATTCAATAAGCCAGATTGAAGAAGAAGAAGAGACAGATTGAATAGAATGTCAAATATATTCAAATAAACATGCACATACATACACACATACATATTATTTATACATATATGAATTCACATTGATATACACATTCATTTTGAAGTTTCAATTTCAAGAATATTTTATTCATATTCATATCGAAGTGTTATTAATACACTCACACTCACATTCACACTCACATTCACACTCACATTCATAGGCGAAGGCGTATTCTGTTCATGCTCTAACCCGAATTCTTTTTCAAGTTTGTATTTTCAATTAAATTCGTATTTCTACCCAAATTCATTTATGTATATATTCATAATAGCATTTTTATTCGCATACATATTTATGATAGCATTCAAATTCATATTTATTTACACACCTACGCTAATATTTATTTATGAATGTGACTCTCTTTGTCATATTTATATGCTTATTCACAGCTTATTCACAATCATACTTATTCATACTTATTCTTTCTAGTTTAGTTTAGTTTTATGCTCATACCTATAATTATTCTCATAGCACCATTCATATAAGTAATCATATTTGTGTTTATATTCATGTTCATATTCATATTCATGTTCATATGCATACTTACATTCGTATTCATTTTCATTTTCATTTTCATACTCAGATTCATATTCTATATTCATATTCATGTTAATATTCATATTTATATTCATACTGAGATTCATATTCATTTTAATATTCATATTCATATTCATACTCAGATTCATATTCATATTCATATTCATATTCATATTCATAATCATATACATATTCTATATTCATATTCCCATTCATATTTTATATTTATATACATACTCAGATTCATATTCATATGTATATTCGTCTTCATATTTATAGTTATATTCTATATTCTATATTCTATATTCTATATTCTTTATTCTATATTCTATATTCTATATTCTATATTCTATATTCTATATTCTATATTCATATTCATATTCATATTGATATTTTATATTCATATTCAGATTCATATGCATATTCGTCTTCATATTCATAATAATATTCATATTCATATTCATATTCTAAATTCTATATTCTATATTCTATAATCATACTCAGATTCATATTCATATTCGTATGCATATTCGTCTTCATATGAACATTCATATCCTTATTCATACTCAGATTCATGTTCATATTCTATACCCGTATTCGCATTCATACTTATACTCATATTCACATTCATATCCATATTCGTATGCCATATTCATCTTCTATATTCATATTCACATCCACAACCATATTCGTATTCATATTCACACTCATATTTATATCCGTATGCATATTCATAATCATATTCATATTCCCTTGGACACATGCTGCAGCAACATGTTGCCCAATTAAACGTAGGCCAATTCGAACTATTCTGTGAATCTTTTTGCAGACTTTTACAGCTTTCAGCATTTATTTTGATTGCTATTCGGAGCTAGTCGCTGCAGGCACTATTCCCCCTCTATCTCATAGGTGTATGCATGTGCATGTGCATGTGTGTGTGTGTGTGTGTGCAACATTCTTGCGACGCGCCATTCATTTCCTCAGCTCTTGCTCTGGCTTTGACTAGTCGTTGCTGTTGTTGCCTGGAATGCGCATTAATTTTCAACACACGCAACAAGCTGCAAGAAGAGGCAACAGCCGAGGAGACAGAGCAGGCAGAGCTGGTGGCAGAGGCAGAGACAGAGGCAGAGGCCAGAGCATAAGCTGCGTCAATTTCGCGCTTTACTTTTGTTGTCAGATGGTTTTAAATCAGGATCGAGCCAGCTCCAGCTGGACTGGGCGCCCGTCCGTGTAGGCAGTCCGGTTTTGGGGGCCAGCTCCTTGCGCTAACAAGTGGTTGGCAGCGCAGTCGCCGTCGCTGCCTTGGCTGTGGCAGCTGCACGCGCCTGCCCTGGCCTGGCCTGGCCTGGCTGCCCCATAATGACTTTCAAATGGGAGCCGCAGAGCGATTTATGTGCGTCAAACAGAGAGAGAGAGAGAGAGAGAGAGGGGGACAGAGGTGGAGCCAGTGACGGGGGCGGGACAGGTGAGGAACTGGGCAGACCGGGCGGCCGTTTTCTTGGAATTCCGCGCGCGCTTTTGTGTAGCATTTTTGTTTTGTTTTTGCCTGTTGCTCTGTTGCTTCTTCGTTTTCATTTAGTTTGTTTTTTTGTTTTTCGAATCGAGAGGCGCAAACTGTCGCAGGGCAAATGCTGCACGAACCCGTTCCGCAGGCCACTTGCCACAGCCACAGCCGCAGTCGCAGCAACAACAACAACAACAGCCACACAGCACCTGCAGCCTGCTCATAATAATGACACGCCATTAAGAAGCTGATGCCCTGATGCCACAAGGACTGGCCACATGCTGCATGCAACATGCGGCCAGCCGGGCAACCGGGCAGCCGTCTGGCCTCGGCTCCAGTTTAAATGGCATATTGCGAGCGACTGTGCTTCCGTTGTCACGCCCCATTCGCTTACCGCAGGACAGCAATCTAAGTCCCAGCCCCTTGCCCCCTGCCCCAATGTCACTGCCTCGCACTGCGGGTACAGTTGCGCTCAAGACATCTCCACATTCCACACACACAATTTAACGCCTACTTTGGCCTGCAGAGCAAAGCCGAAAAACAAAAACAAAAACAAAATTATCCATAATTTCTGTGCTGCTTTTGGTAGCTCAATTAGGGAAGTTACGAAAAGGATTTCGGCGGGAGGAACTTTCAAAATTATTTTAAAGATACTTTACATAAATACATTTTGCAAGAAATCGCAATTCCTTAAAGTTTATAATAATCATTTATGTAATATATTTAATATACATATTTTCACATAATATCATATAATATACAGTCGAGTCTCCATAATTTATTTATTCCCTTGCAAAAATTCGTTCTCGATCATTTGAATCTCTGTGTAGATCGAAATAAACAGAAC